GTGAAAATTCCCCGGTTCCACCCCTGCCCCCGGTCAAGAGCGGCAGGGAGACTAATCGACATAATGCGTGGGGCAAGCATCGCCCCCTTTGAAAAAGGTCTCCATTTGTATTGCCATTTTCTTTGGTCGCATCCCGGGAACAAGATCCCAAGGTCTCATGTTGTATCCCGCAGGCTCCTTCTCCATCGCATTACCTCCTTCCCCTGCCAAACACGCGCCCGCTCTCTACGTATGTACAGCCACGGTCACTCATCCATACCGATAGATCCTTCGTCCTCTATCTCTGGAGATAATGCTCAGGTGTTGGATCCCCTACCTTCATGTTACTTCCACCTTCTCTTGTTCTCCACCCCACCCCGCTCCACCGGCACCCCGTCTTGGCTACTTTACAGGTGGCTCCACTCTTGACTCACGCCCTCTATCGCTGCCTTTCGTTTAGAACGGCAGGTTCCAAGGTCATCCCCATTCGTTGTAGTTCTTGGGGTGGGTAACCCTGGGCGAGTAATTCTTTGACCTGGATTTTCTCCATTTCCACAACTGACTGCTCCCTTTGCAGCTCTAGGGAGAGGGGTATAACGGTCAGCATGCTGGCCATGCTGAAGTACCAGGCCAAGGAGATCCCCCAAGATAAGATCTGAGCGTGGGGGGGAAGGAAAGAGGGGGGACATAGGGGGGCCGTGCATGATGAGTGTTTGGGAGGAACGCAAACTTATTACACAACAAGACAATGCACATACCTTCTTGCTGTGGCTGCGAACCCACTTCCTATAGCTGCCGGCTTGTGTGTATAAGTTTTTCAAGATACCCTGTTGTCCCGTATGTAACAGTTGGTGGGAACAAGGGGTGGCGGGAAAACGGATCGAGGACAATAGACATACCTTCATCCCATACAGACCGTCGTCCACACCGTCGTCCAGATCTTCAAAACGCACACTTTTACTGCTGGGCATGATACTTTGGCTTTTGAAGGTATACCGGCATCAGAGGAGCGTGAGAATCGGAAAGAGGAAAGGGGAAAACATGATGTTGTGAACGCATTAGCAGAAGGGTTACAGGAGGAAGATGTGGACACGTGAAGGATTCACAACATTCTTGTGAAGACGCAATCGTTGCAAACACTGCAATCTGAGTGAGAGCTGGAGAAGTGTGGCAGATTGTTCGATACTTTATCAAGAAATTTCAGTCAACCTATGACTAGCAGCAAGATATTTCGATGGAAGCCACGCCGTGGGAGTTGCGTCTCTGTGAAACAGCAAATCAAAAGGCAAACCCAACGTTCTCCCTTCATGCAATTTGTCAGTTCTATCAACTCGCTCTCGATATGGCAGTGCAGACAAGTACAGCAAAAGGCGAGAACCGTACGATTTTACAGGAGACCTTTCCGTCTCGCAACTCTCCTCCCGGGTATCCTACTAGTAGTAGTACTCGGAGGGCGAGAAATTGACGCAAGCGCTGACACTCTTGCCATGTTGAAATATCTACAGAGAACACACCACATTCTAGCCAAATAAAAATCCAAGCTACTCATTTGCATTAAAGATTTTTGGAAAATTTGGTTGACAAGAGATTGTGCTCACGTTATCTAAATCGGTTGGGCTTCGTCACGTGGGACTGACATCTAACGCTTTCTTAAGGCTCGCGCTCTCATCTTGTCAACATACGCAGCGAAACATTGAAGTGACATACTGATTAATCTGTCCGTTTTCATTTTTTTTTAATTTCTATGCTTCCCTTATTCCATCACCTTATGGCTTTCATTCCCAGTCCACTTGCTGTGCCTCTCCCTTCTAGTCCTTCTTCTCCTTCATTTCCTTCCCCCTGTTGATCATGAAAGTGCTACTTATATCATTTTTTTTCTTCTCTCTTCTCCTCTGCTCATCTCCACGAAGCGTTGGCCACCCTGTAAAATTCTTGCACCTCCAGATAATTCTATTTCCCCTAGACCTCTGTCGAGGTTCTTCTGCCGGTGTTTTGGCTTGCACTTCTCACTCTTTGATCAGTAACCATAAAAAAATCGTCAGATTTTTACCTTCTTTTCAGATCCTACATGCGACAATGCAATTAATTTACTCCAGAGGAGGGATCCTGGGTCGAATTATCATTTAGAAAAGCTAACCGATGCAACACGTTGCCACGCCTGCCTCGAAGGTGGGGTAATTTGCGACTGGATCAAAATAATACAAACATACATGCATGAATTTACAAAATAACTACTTCATGCAGGCATTTTCACGCCAATGTCCCGCGATCGATTTCTTTGTTTGCTGTTTTTCCCTACCCGCTAAGCGATGCATCGATGGGCCGTAGCTGCCAATCGCGGGTGAGCAATGTGACACAAGCCGGATAGGAAGTTATTTTATGCATATCAGATCACAATCTTATCATGAACGTAGTACACATTCACGCCCCCGAGCTTTACCCTGATATTTCATGCGCAAACAACATCTTGTTTATCCTTTTTATCGGGTCACTCAAGCGTTCCAAGGGTGGGAGGTTGCTTCTCGCCCCATCTTCCTTACTTGGAGTGCCCCTTGCGTTCTACAACACCCCAAAAAAACAGCCACAGATACCGCGCAGGCGGGATGCTCATTGTGTATGGTCGAGTATCGACAATTTTTTGTTCCTATAGGCTTGGATCACTTAAAATTCGTAAAGCGGTCAGCATGGTTCATGTGCCACCACCCACCACCACTTCAGGATACTGCCTGGCGTTCGTAGCCCATATACTCACAGCACTTTTTCCCTCTATCTTTTCTCTTTTCCTACTGTCCAATGCTTAATTGCAGGGAGATAGGGTCGTACAACAGGATTGATAGCTCTTCCTTCGACGTGAGACGTGGTGATGGCGTCCACACTTAGCCAACAACTGGCGGCCGTGCGGGCCGCCGGGGTAGCTACATCGTCAGGTACATGCATCGTTTACGCGTGAGGGGTTAAAGATGTAATGCAATTGGTCTACTTCGATGATACTGGAGCTAGTTGGCTTCAATATTGGAATGGCATGTCATGGTGTTGTCTTTCAGAGCCCCCTTTCACAGATGCTCCAGCTTTCCCCTCTCAATCTTCATGTCTTACACGGGCCGCATGAGCCATGTGCTTGTGTACAGGAAGATGTCGTGTGCCTTTTGATGTTCCTATGGACACTAGCTACCGTTGTGTCCATCGTGTCTTAATTGTATTGGCATCATGCTTTGTCGGTATGCAAGTTTAGCTAGTCGACTAACCTCCTTCCTGATCCATCATGCCTTCATGCACATCATGTTGGCTTTGCGGGGGACATTAGGTATACAAGCCACCCGTCGAGGGGGTCAGCAACGTCCATCCATCCTTTTTGACGGCAAAGAAGCTGCGGATGTGGATACCTTTACAGTACATCAATTGGCCTGCGAGGGCCTGGAACGCCTCGCGGCCCACGAGCCCCGCCTGGGCCCATTCCGATCCACTCTTTTCTCGGATGAATCCCAGAGCTTTGTGCGGGAACTTCAGACCCGGGAGGTGAACCAGCAGCTGGACGCCTCCCTCCAGACTTGCCTGCTTTACCTCTCGCCCTTTGTCGGGGAGGAGGACGGGGCGCGGGTGGCGGAGTACTTGGTCCGTCGCTACGCCGTCCACGCGCACTGCGCCCCGGCCTTGTTGACCTGTTTCCTCCCTTACCACGACCGCCCCGTCTTTCACCGGGTCGTGCGCTTGCTCCGCTTGGACGCGGGAGGCCCCGTCAAAGCTCTTGCCTGCTGGCTCCCTTTGCTTCGGCCCTGGCTCCTGTCCTCGACCGCTTCGTCCGAACCGCCCCC